TTACCCTTTCTCCAAGAACCAGTTTGATAACTGCCATGGATTTCTTCACCTATCAGACACCAAAATACATTGAATATCATTCTYAYRCCARTATTAMMATGAARCCTGCTTAATATACACCAYAGGGAGCCCAAGCTTGGTTTTTGTTTCAGTACATGACAGTAAATGCATGAGGTTAAARCAGTTTTTGTATGAGTGGAAAACTTACGATAGGGACATGTTGTAAACAACACAACATGCCATAACATTCAAATGGCTTCTTTTTTGTCCTCCAGTAATTCATCAGTCACACCTACGGTAAGATACACTACAACAGCTATACACTATGACTACCATATTCTGTAGTTCCAGAAATTATCCATACCTCCCATGGAGGAATTTTTTTAAAGAGAAATTCCAAATTCCTCTCGGTGGGGGGGGGGGTTTGGATAATTTCTGGAACTACGCAGTTGTCGTTTCCCACTCATAAGAAAACCACTCTAACCATACCAAATTTTAGCAAAATCAGTGCACTTTTAATGAAAATAGTGAGGAAGGAAATTATAAGAAAATGAAATGCCATATTAAATTAATGTAATATCTTAAAACAAAATATGAGCATGGGTTGCCGTTCCCTGTATATAAGAGGAGTTTGAATGAGACCCTGCGGTGCATCTAGTATTCCAAGTTCACTCAAAACCAAACATAAATTTTACATTTATTTCTCTACATTAGCCCTAGCTATACACACCTTATGATATCTTTCTGGAGATGGCATGGGTACTCCCTGTCGGTTTGCCTCATGTTTCAGAGTATTAAGCATGTTCCGTTCTTTTAACAAAACATACCTATTTTAAGAAATAAAGAGTTTTTAATATGAATTGCACAAAATGCTTAGGCTTAGAGTAGGTTACTCTAGGCATTCTGGTCTCAACAATTTTCCAGCAAGTGAGCAACTTTTGCTTTAACAAGAAAAAACCTTCCACTACTCCCACAAAGTGTACTGTTAATGTGTCAGCACTTGTGTCCCAAAACTAAGCACTAGACTTTGCTGTACTGTACAGGAAACCCTGTACCAAAAGCTTTTCAAAATTATTTTTAAGATAAAACACACCATAATTTGTGCAAATCCTCATTTGATTTGGTCCTCAATTCTCCAGCTCTCCATCGTCTACCTGTAAGGATAAAAACAACCGTCTGAGGTTCAGTCACATCGATTGTGTTTAGGGTAGAAAGAGTAAAGACAATTTAGAGCATTTTCATGTGACGTCACAGCGGCCATGTTGGTGTACCAAGATAAAACATTTACTATCCTAGGGGAATTGACCTCCATTTTTATGCAAAACTTGTGCAGAAAGTTTCTGTTGTTTGGTACGCCAATATGGCTGCCTTGTCATGTGAGTGAAAACACACTATAGCACTGGTTGGTGTTCCCAAACATTAGCGATACCATTGTGACCATTTATCATGCACAATAGTTCTTGTCACGTAGGTTTGTTTCATCAGCAGATCAGTCTCTGGTTAGCATATTAATGACAATAGGTTATGGGCAGCAACTACCGCTATTTTACTGAAAATTACTCCTTTTCTATTCACACCAATCTCAACCAATCTCCAATTTTCGACACAGCCACAGACATTTTTTTTTTTTTTTTGGCTTCCATCAATCAAAAATCATAACTTAGTCAATTAACGCGACGCCTAGCTAGTTGTCTGGTTCACGTAATGACCAAAATAATTTAAATCCTTTACAACTTATCGGTTTATGAAGTCATACCTGTTTTTACAGTCTCAGGAGCAAGTTCCCCCTTGTCCAGTACACCAGGAGGAAAGAATTCTTCTAAACCACCAGAACAAGATGATGTCTTGAAACCTTGTGAAACGATGGAGGGACACCTAAAGAAACGTAAAAAAATTTTCAGTCCAAGAGATTTAGACATGCTCAACCTGTGAGGAATCTAATAATAATTTTCTGTTGTAAAATACCTAAGTACTGATGTAGAATAACAAGGTATTCTGYACAAYACGCTTCGCAGTTTGGCCGCCATCTTGAAAATGCTCGCGCATAAACGGTGTATATTTTAGTTGCGCAGTAGCGTTACCGCTGTACAGTTGACTACAGACTCTCTTTTTCTCTTCCTAGCTTCTTTCGTTGTTTCTTCTTTTTGTATTTCATTTCTTTCCTTCTTTTCTTCTTTTGTCCTTACTTTGTCCTCTTTCTTTCCTTTCTCCTTTTTTTTAATTTCTTTCTTTTTTCCCTTCATGTCTTTCTTTCTTTTTAAGAGATAATTGAAAAATGATATTAGCCATAAGGGGAACATAATTTATATTTAGCCAGAGGCTGGTACTCTTCGCCGGATCTCGTTTGTGGGCTTCCTGTGTTAGATATTTAAAGTAACGCATGCATGACTTCCTGTATCTTCTGCAGGAAATCAATATTCTTGAAATTTCGCGTTGCAGCATCGAGTGTTGGCTTGACATGGCTGCGTTAACTCCTTTCATCAATGATGTAGAAGAGAAGGTTATTTGTTTCATTTGTAGTAAAACCTTTACAGATCCTAAAACTTTGCCATGTTTGCACAGTTACTGTACAAAATGTATCACACAGTTGTACGAGAAGAGCGAAGAACTTGGGGAGGTTTATGCTTGTCCTCAGTGTCAGACACGAATCGACTTGTCGGAAGGAAGAGATGCTGATCAACGGCGTTCCTTCTACATTGATGCTCTTTTGAAATTACTTGTCGCTATGAAAAATTCTTCAATTCAAGATAAAGAAGAGGAGGAAGATATGATAAGAAGTGAATGTACAAGCTGTGAAAAATACGCCAATCTTGTTGCATTTTGCCCACAATGTAAAGGAATGATTTGTCAAGAGTGTCTTGGTGCCCACAAAAGCGTGAACCAACTCCGACGTAAACATCAGGTAGCCATGTTAAATGAATTCAAACAAGAAAACTTGAAAGATTTTGTCGAAAAACAAATGTTCTGTATGGAAGAATCCCACGAGGAGAATAGTGATCAGCCAATGGGTCAATATTTTTATTGCAAAGAAGAGACTTGCAAACGCTTTATTTGCCAATGCTGCTTATTATTGGCCCACAGAAACCATAACACAGAAATGGTAGAAAAGGCAGGAAAACAGTTCAAGAAAACTATAAAAGAAGACATCGATAGACTTAAAAAAGTCAAAGAGGGCTACGAAGAGGAGCTATCGCTATCCAATCAAAACATGGCTCGCATTTTAAGCGAAGTAGAATTAGCCAGGCTTAAAATCGACGAAGAAAAGGATGCCCTAATCAAGATGGTTAATGACCACGCTAAAGCAATGGACGAAGCTTTAGATAAACTGTTACTTGACCAACGAACTGCATACCAAGGTGAGCAAAGCACTATTAACGAAGTTAAGAAGCAAGTAACTGAATATCAGGGCCGATGTCAGAATGTCATTGAAAGAAATATAACGTACGATATGTTTGAAAGACAAGAACTAATTCAAGAAAGGACTAAAGCTTTATCACAACCATCTTTCAAAGCAATGAAGCGCTTGAGAGTACGATACCGCAGCGGTGACTATGCTGATTTTTTGGACTCGGGTATTGCGGGAAGCATTGTTGAAAGCGTGATTGACCCCTCACGCAGTTCCATCGAATCGCTGAAAGAGGTTAGACAATGTTTTTTGAATGAGTTTGAAGTCGTGACGAGAAACGCGGACGGCAAAATGTGGTATGCACCAGAAGAGACGATTGATATATCAATCACTGAGGTCAATGATAATGATAAAGGGGCAATTTATTTCAAATTCAAGAATTTCTTGAATAAAGAAATAATTGACGAGAAAAATGGAAGGTACCGCGTGAGATTTAGAGCTCCAGAAGCCACACAATGCGAAATTACAGCGAGGATTAGAGGCGAGCCCATTAAAAACTCACCACAAAGGGTAAATACTATCGACTTTAGCTCGAGAATTGAAAGTGTAGCAACGTTTGGAGAATACGGTGCTGGTAAAGGAAAGTTGAAGATCCCTAGGTCCATAGCTGCAAACAAGAGTGGGAAAATAGCTGTTGTCGATTCGCACCACATACAAATCTTTAGTGCAAGTGGCGAGCATTTGGTAGAGATTGGCTGTAAAGGAACAGAAGATGGTGAACTTTCCAGGCCATTTGGAGTCGTTTTCATTCGTGAAAATAAAATCATGGTCAGTGATCAACCAGATGACAATGGCAGGATTCAAGAATTCAATATTAATGGTTCGTACTTGAGAACTGTTTATAGATCTAAAGATACCTGCGTACCACGTGGGATGTGTGTTGCTGATGACAAAATTGCAGTGTGTTGTTGGGGAGATATCAATCGAGGTGTAAGGCATAGCATTATGCTGTTTAGTAAAGAAGGCGTGTTCATCGAAGCGTTCCATTGCACCGAAAAAGAAGAACGGCCTTTACACATTTCTTTTAGTGGCGATAAATATTTTGTGTCTTTCGTTGACAAAAACTATGTTCGAGTTTTTGATAAATATGGGTATCTCTTGTGCGTCTTTGGAGAGGAAGGAGGTTTGTATGGTCAGTTTGATAAAGTACAAGGACTTGCAGCTTATGGTCCGAAATCGGTTCTTATCTGCGATGCAGATAATCATCGTATCCAAAAACTTACAGGCAAGGGGAAATTCCAAATGTCTTTTGGTTCCGGTGGGTCAGATGAAGATGAAATGCTTTACCCTTGTGATGTTGCTGTTGCAGCTGATGGTCAAGTATTCGTGCTGGAGTTAGAAGGGAAGAGAGTGCACGTATGGAAATAAACTAATTTTCTGATTTCCACAAGAAGACGATACGGTCCGATACAGTTGCAGATTGATACCATAAGTCGTAGTTGTTGCTCCTTTATGGTTTATGGTTTGTGGTTGCTCAATGAGCGACTTATCCCTTTAGACTATTTGAAAATGAGGCTCTTGAATTTTAACAAGACGCCCTATAGGCATTCACTGGGTTGTTTTTAAGAGACCGATCCAGCCTATGCTTTAGTGTCCACCGAACCAATGGGTAGTTTTCCCAATGGAACTACAGAATATCCGACCAACAAACTCCAATTCATAAAAATATTTTTTAAGTAGTTATCAATTTTTTTCTTAATGCACCTTTAGAATGCATATAGATTCTAAGATAGACATTTACTTTTTTCAGCAATCGGTGTCTGTTCCATGACTTCCATGGGCAAAAACACTTTTAGCTTGTTATTCAACGTGTAGAAATAGTAATTAGGGAGGTAAAACAATGAATGCGGGATGGGTGTAGTGTCATTTGCAAACTTATGCAGTGATATATAAGAGAACCTCGCAATCTGCTTACTCGTAAAAAAAGTTGCAATAATAATTAAAATAGAAGTGATGCAAATCAATGACCCTCTTACAGCTGATCACAGAACCGACGCGCGTATAACATGTAATACCTTGGCGTACTTATCACCTCAACTCCTAGCCTCCTTTGCAGCCGTTCTTCGCTGTAATTTCGATCGAGCTGATTCAGCCCCAAAAATGGGGCCGTTTCGGTGAGTAAAATATGGCACATATTTTGGGGCTGATTTGGCCCTGTTTCTGAAGGGCTGAATTGGACCTGGTCTTAAGGGCTGAATTGATATTCAGAGGAGGAGCTAAAACGAACCCACACAAGTCTGTTTTGGAAAATGAAGGGGCTGATTTGAAAGATAGAGGTTCTGTTTTGGAATTCTTAGGAGCTAAATTAAATTTTCATAGAGCTGAAACGTTACCAAATTTAGGGTTGTTTTGGCCATGAATTGTTCATACATTGCTGTACATGTCGTATTTAGAATTATGACACTATTTCTTATATTTTTTTTTAAATTTAAAAGTTTAATTTTGAAACCACACTGTTACAGTCAATAATACATATATGCCAAAATTTCAAACTTTGATGCAAAAGGATTACATATATGTGGAATATTCATAGTGCAGCGATACACTTTACTACATGCAGATAGATAACTATGCAAAAGTAGCATTGCCCAGGGTTGAATCCTAGAGCAGCTTTGTCAGACACAACCTCTTCCCATACAGAGTGGTTTTCAGGTTGTCCTTGACTTAATTTATGCATTTGAAATTGCACTAATGAAAGAGGTCACCGACATTAAGGTATTTCTACTTCAAACAGTATTTGTTACTAAGAAAGACAAAATAATCCCTCCCTTCTTATAAACAATGTTAAAAACATAAAAAGATCCCAGAAGAGCAATAATGCCATCCATGATTGGGGGAGAGTGCATGATATTCTTCCTTCACACAGGTATGTAAAGGGCATCCAAATCATGCAGCTCTCCCACTCCTACTAAMTGTGGCTGTACAAACTTCTGATTTTCATCATCAATGTTGGTGTCTCTCTGAAAATAACAACAAAAAAACAAAATTGAAATTTGCAGCAAATATTGTTCATGACATGGTGATGAATACTCCAGTTTTGAGTTCCCTATTGCAGTGTTAGCCTCAATTGCATGCAATATATTCTTTAGCATTGGTACAGCCCCTAGTAATGATTTTAGAAATGTATACAATTAAACAATACAATTGCTTTAGAATTCCACGGGTGTTGTTCTAAGTGCTGAATAACTTACGCACAATCGAGGCTAACCCAAAGCAAAAGGGAACTTGAAACTGGAGTATTGGGATAGCCCACTTTCGATATCCTAGTTGAGTGATATTGCATACATCTTAAGAACATCTTATGAGATTTGGCATAAGTTGGTTAAAGAAAAAAATATTACCTGTTAYATCAGTCTTGACCAGACAAAGCAGCCTCCATACTTGWAAGATGTTTTTGCATCTCTTTATTTTTTCCAGCATATGTTATAATCTAAAGTGGATTRATAAATTCATTTGYTAATTTACTGCTGCTACAAARAAGAGAATAAAATAGCYAGAATATTTTAGTTGAATATTCATTGTTCACTCCACACGTAAACACTTGGGCATCAAGGGGATTTATTCTAACCTTAGGTTGCCATTCAATGAATTTTTCTTTTACACCTGTTATAAGGTCATCATTTCCAAAAATTAATCTTTAATATAGCATTATTATAGCAAATATTGACTTATTTAAGTCAATAATAGTTTAAAACTTAAAAGGTTTATGTCTCATAAGCAAAGCAGTATCGTAACATATACAAGGAAAAAAATTTTTAGCACACTGCTACCTAAAATGTAATCAAGCAATGCATATGGGACATGAATTACCAAGACTCAAAGTCTCGCTTTCAACATGCATTTACCTTGATCACAGATTAGAACACACACATTAATAGCACTGCCTTAAGTCTAACCAAGCAATGCATACTGTACATGAATTAACGAGACTCAAGGTCTCGCACTCAACATGCATTTACCTTGATCACAGATTAGAACACACACATTAATAATACTGCATTATGTCCAACCAAGCAATGCANCACTCAACATGCATTTACCTTGATCACAGATTAGAACACACACATTAATAATACTGCATTATGTCCAACCAAGCAATGCATACTGTACATGAGTTACCAAGACTTTGAAGTTCTTGCACTCAACATGCATTCACCTTGATCACAGATTAGAACACACACATTAATAACACTGCATTATGTCCAACCAAGCAATGCATACTGTACATGAGTTACCAAGACTTTGAAGGTCTTGCACTCAACATGCATTTACCTCAGTCAAATATCTAAATAAAACTGCTAAAGTGTGTTGAAAAACAGTTTCTTGCAAGTTCTGATTACAAATGGAATGGTTCAAAATTTCCAATTAGAATTTAAAAGTTCAGTTAAATTATGACTGCTTTGTACAGTATTGGAGTTTAACCTGCAGTATGACACATACCRGTGTACTTTTTGAAACCGTACCTCGAAACAAATTGCTATTGCAAGTTTGAAATCAGTTTAAATTGTATTCTTAATTACTTGTTACTCGGGCTTTCGAAGAAAAAAGCCCGAGTCATAAATTACCCTCTGTTTTTTTTCTTTTTTTGGTCGCCAAAATGGGGTCATGGTCCCAGGCGTTCCTAGCCCAGTCTTGGAAAACTGGGTTCGAGAAATGCAAAGGTATCGTGTTCATCAGACTATTCGCTTGTCGAAGAACGGAATTGTATGTTGAATGTTGTGTTTCGTGAAGGAAGTTTTGGAAAGAATTATGCCCTTTACGCTCATTTCACATACAGACGCAAACGCCCGTCGTGGTAGACCCACACTAAATGACGTCGAGCGCTTTCGAAATGGGTCGGTCCGCGAAGACTTTAGCTTGAAATTTAGCCAAACTAGCAAAGCTCTTACTAGTTCTCACGAGATAGCAAATGAGCCATTCATGGGTCAAAATTACGACAACACTGACAAATTTATGACTACTGACTTATCAACAAAAT